GGCCCAGGAGTGCTGGGCACATGTCAGCAGTCCTCTTAAGAGACCCAGAGCCACAGAACTGAGTACCATGCACCCCAAATCCACTCATCATGCTGTCCCAGTGTGGCTGGGGACATGAGAGAGTAAATGCCCCAGCAGAGCATGCTATTTAAGATCACACTGTCACAAGAGGCAAGGGTCAGTAGCCTGGTGGCCAGCCTCTCACAGTCACTGCCCTGATGACCCCTCCAAGGAAGGTTGTGGTCCCAGTGCAGGTCCCCGGCACTGTTAGTGAAAGGTCAGTGGCCTCACCAGCAGCGGGAGGCAGGCCGGCTCTGTGAGGGTTAATCTGCCAGTCCAGCCATCACAGGGGTCACCGTGATGTACAAGAAGTTGAGCATCCCGGTCCCCCATGGCTGGTCTGCTAATTACATTTGCAATTATAAACATCACAACCTCCCTGAGCAGGGACCAGGCCATGCCATGGAGCTGGGCAACCAGATGTAACCCCGCCCCAGGCTGCCCCGGCCACACCCTGAGACCCCAGGGCTGGCTGAAACTTGTGAACCCCTTCTCCAAGGAATGACCACAGCTGTGTTAATTCCCCAGGGGCTTGAGTTTGCTGAGCCTGAGAAAGGAGAAGCACCCCAGGCCAAGCCCTATCAAGAGTCACCAACACAGACATGCTAAAAGGATCTTGGATTTATCCCTAGAAATCAGCAAGTGGCCTCACAAATAGGAAGAATGTTCCGGAAGCCTCCAGGTTTAAGGTCTGCCTGGTTCTAGCCCATTCTCAACTTGTGCCCTTCCATCTGCAGACCCTGCTCTCGCTCACTCCAGGGACCGTAGAGAACACTCAAGGTTGAACGTTCCAGCTGAGCTGACGTTCAGTCAAGAGCCACCAGACTCCAAGACAGAAGCCCCCAGGGGGCTGTGAGGAGTGCTGGCCACTTCTGGACAGCGCTCCTGGTCATGAGGGAAAAACACAGAGCTCCACACAAAATGGGGATATTCGGAGCAGGTCAGCCTTCACTTTGAAGAAGTGGATTATGGTTTAAATAAGTATCAACTATTCCCTCCCTTAAATTTGGAACCACAAAGAATTTTACTCATTTTTGAAGAAGTCACTTCAAGTACTCGGGGAAACAGGTTCAAGAAAGAGGTGCTGGAGAGAGAGTCAAAAGCACCCTGTCTGTGGTCTGCCTGAGGAATTCCCTCTCCTTCTGTACCCTGCTCGTCCACCTGGCCAACTCCAGAGCAGGTCCACTCTCTCCATGACTGTCTCCGATATCCTTCCTTTGGCCTGCTAGAGTTTTGCAGATCTTTGCTCAAAAGAAGCAAGGCATTTTGCAAAAGACTGAGGAAAACAAACTTTTTCCGTGAGTTTAGCTTCTCTCGAAAAATCATTTGTCAAAAAGTCCAATTATAGGAATATGAATGGATCAGGCAGGACGAAAGGGGGAGAGCCCCCTGAGTGAGGACCAGGGGCACTCGGAGAAGGCAGGCTGTGACATGAAATCTCTATCACAGCCATCTCCCTCCAAGTGTTCCCCCTGAAAGTCCCCTCTGTCCCTTTTCTAGGACTAAATGGAATCTCTATTGATTACTCAAATCAATAGAATGAAAAGATTCCTGTTTGGTGGGTCAGATTGTTTCTCCTTCTTCTTCAGAGACATCTTTCCATATATCCGAATTATTGGTCAAATAGAGGATCATTTCCAAAGTGAAAGGCGCTGGGGAAATAATCAACTCGGAGAGGAAATTTCCAGGGATGTCAGGATCTCACTGAGCTGGAAAGGCCTTCATGGGGACTGGGGCCCTGCAACATGGGCCTAATGTTTTTCCCATTTATGGCCCCAGGGCTAAGCAGCTCCCACCACCCAACACCCATCCTCTCCCACAGCAATCCACACCTCCAGAAGGGTGGCAGACACATAAAGGTCTGTTTTTCAAAACCCCCTCCCTTGGACAACGGAGACTGATGTCTTCACTCTGATTTATTTTTTAAATGTACCATTAAAAATTAATTTCCCCCTTTGTTTTTCTCTGGGTCACTGATTCTGAATTACCATGTGGCATTTTTCCTATGTGTGAACCCACATATTTTACCTTCAGGACACAGTTTGTTCTTTTGTTTCCCTAACAACAGCAAAGTGGTCATCAGACAGTGATGAGGTCCCCGCCCCTCCTCTGGGTTTAGTCTGCAGCCGTCCCCGTCATGGGTACCTCCGCACGCAGGCACACGCACTGCCACTCTGGCTGATTATATATGTACATAAAATATTGATTAGAAAGGGTAATGGAGTCACCTACAGAATTGGCTATGGGAGAAGGAAAATGAAGGAGAGGAAGTCAGGGAGGTCCGCGTGTGTCTCTGTGTGTTCATTTCTCACCTGGGAAGGTGAGAGCGACACTCAGAATTAAAAACCTCTCCTGTGTGTCAGCAGGCCAGAGGAGGGCTGGAGGGTTCCTTCTCTCTGAACTCTGGTCCCGGTGCCCTTGGGTTTTCTCGAGTCCAGGAATGTCATTGAATCTGTACCGGCAAAAACTATGTGTACAGAGCACATGAACCTCCTGTTATCCATCCAACCGTCCTTCCCACAAACCAAAGAATGGCCCCCCTCTATTTTGTTACCTTGCTACCGATAGCTCTAATGCTAACCTGTCAGGAAGCCTGGGGTAAAGGTCTGAAAGATGCCTCAGTGGACCTCCACAAGCTTGTCCTTGTGGATGGTGCACCCCTGTTCTAGGGCAGACGGAGACCCTGGCGGGAGGCATACATCTGTACAGGGGGCCAGCTCGCTAATGCTCGAGGCTGCAGCTTAGCAGGTCCTGAGCTTTGAGAACTGGCATCTCACAGAGATGCTTCATTCCTCAGGGGTGGCACATATATTTTTTTGGCTTTCCTCATGGAGTAAGAAGCTAATTTTTTTTTTTTTTGCAAAGAAACCAGGAAGTGTGGGGAATCCAAGTCACAGGTTCAGTTCATAAATGATTTCCACTTCAAATCTTTCCCAGACACCAAGGACCTCGCTTTCTCGTCCCCTTTCTCCCCTAACATGTTTCTCCTCAAACTAAAGCCAGGGTTCTTGTCAACTCCAGGAAGTATCCAGACACTAAGGCTTCCATCTCTCCTGGCTATCCTGATCTACACCAAATAACGTACCCCCCCCCCCCAAACTAAAAATTTTCATATTGATTGACTATGACTTGGAGTCAGGGACAAACACATAGATATTTCGAGCTCCACTAAAGAAGTCACCTCTGGAGAGAGGGAGTTTAAATAATTCAAATATTCAATATTTGCTATACTTGGTAATTTTATGTGAGGAAATGCCCCTCTAAACATCAAACATTGTTCACAGCCTCCCTTACCCCTCCCCCCTTTCTGTGGCATCTCTCAGTCCCTTAGGAAGGAACAGTGCAAGGCAGGATCTGACACCCACCCCCCCAAGTTGGGATCAGTGTAACCTTTAAGGAGAATGAAAAGCCCCTTTATGGGAATCAGACTCCGTTACAATCAAGGATTCCCCTCATCTCCCAGCCCAATGTCTTCTTCCGACACAGTCAAAATTCTTGTGGCATCTAAAGGACTCTCTGCCTGGGGAAATCCTAAAACTGAAAAGGTCAGCATGGGGTCGGGACAGTCTGGTCATCAACACAAGATGCGGCTGTGAAGTTGCTTCCTCTGCCACGCGTGGCCCAGCGCGGGTGGAAGTAATCTGCGCTTCGAGGTGGGGGGTTAGGCCCTTCCTGGAGCCCCACATAGTATTTATTTCAGAGATATAGACGTGGTTCTTTGGCAGGGGTTGTGGGGGGCAGGGGACGAATGGTACAAAAATGAAAAGACAGTAGCAAGAAAGAAACACCGATAGTTGAGTTTGCTTCGGAAAACTGGAGGAAGAGCACAAAGTTTCGCAGGAAAGCTGTCCGTGAGGATCTAGAGTTTTCATCTTTATTTTTAAGCCAACCGAGGGACCCCTCTGCACGCGCGCGCACACCCAGATGCGGGGACCCTAGCCCCAGGCGCAATGGGACACGGAGCGCGGGAGCCGAGAGCCAGGCAGGTGCTTTGGCAGGTAGGGTAGCGACCGCGGAGGGCGCGGGGAGGGAGCGCGGGTGGCTATAGCGTGCAACCCGGGAGAGCGCGGGCAGGACGCGCGGGGCAGGCACCGCCGCTGGTGGGACTCAGTTCTCCACTTTACCATCGTCGCCCGGGTGCTGGGGAGCTGCGTTCCGTGGGAGGAGCGGCCAGCAGCCGCCGGAGACTCTTGAACAACCTAGGGTTCTGGCGCGGTGAGCGCCGAGCGGCCGAGGGCAGAGAAATCAAGCTGTCCGCGGGTCCAACCTACTCCCAAACCTTGAACTAACTTTGCCGGGTTTCAGCGCCGACCCCGCTACCCACTCCTGGCGGGATACAGGCCTTGCGGGGCGGCGTCTACCCGGGACCGCGCCGCCGCACCCCGGGGCTCCTTGGAATCGCCGTCTCGTGCGCACCCTCGGGGCGCCCCACTGGGACCGCAGGGTGAGCGCGCCACTGGCCTCCTGCGTTTCCAAGCTGTCGCGGCACGTTCGATTTTTTTTCCTCCCTTGCGGAAATCATGTTTGGTCCCCAGGATGGAAATAAAAATCAAAGCACCGCGGGGAGGCTTTCACGGACGGGACAGAACATCCTAGCGGCCACGTCCCTGCACCTGTTCTGGGCTTCCGCCTCCCCTTCACAGAAACTCAAAAAATATTTTGTCACCATGGAGCAAGATCAGAGAGTGATGAGAAAGCGCTACTCTCGCCAAAAGTGAGGGTTCGTCAAAGGGGATGCGGGAAAAGTTAGCGGCGGGTTTAAGCCTGAAAGAGAAACCCAGGAAGTGTGCGGCTTTCCCCCTCCTACGTTCCCCGAGTCCCCCCCAGAAGTCCCTGCCACTTCAAGAATGTGTAGAAGAGGAACTGCGACACCCAGGACAGAGACAGCCGGACGGGCGGATGGATGAACACACAGACCGACCGAAAAACAGGGCACCTACTGGTTGTGGTAGCCGAGGGGGTCCGGGATGCAGAGTTCGGACACGTCCATCAGTCCCGTTTTAGCATTCCCAGGAGGTCGAGAAAGGCGGCGGGGAAATCACGCGGAAGACGAGTGAAGGGCACAGGCGAGGTGCGAGTCCGGTCAGGGGCACAATGAGCGGGAGAAGGCAGAGTGGGAGGAAGCGGCCGCGGCGGGGGAGAGGGAGGCCGAGAGCCGTGCGCGCACAGCCCCGCGCTCCCACTCATCCGCACGCTGCGAGCGAGCGGGTAGAGGGGATGCGAAGCCGTGGAGAAGGCTGGGGCACCCGACACTTGCAGCCCACTAACCCTACTGTAGCTTTAAGGCTGAGAGACTGATGTATGGTTTGGCTCCGATTGGCTATCTCTCAGGGGCTGGACTTAAAGTGACAGAATCAAGCTGGGTGGGGGGAGGGGGGCCAGCCAGAGCGACTTCAATGGAATAAGACGCTCGCGCGGACGTGCAAGGTCCCCACCTCCTGAGGAGCAGGAGGGCTGGATTTTGGAGCCCCAAGGCTTTCCCTCTTGCAGTTAAGGAGGAAAAAAAAAAACTATCTAGTGGGACTGGGGGTGGGGGGAGAGTTGTTGCATCCATGCCCCCCTCCCCACCGTCCCTTTCTTTTAACTGGCCGGCCTAGCAAACTCACCTCTCAGCCTCTTGGAATGGATTTGTTTTCCAAATTAAAAATGAGTCACATTTCTCCGCCCACGCACCAAGGAGAAGACGCCAGTGCCTCCGAAATTCACAGCCTCGAACCTGGAACCTCGTATCTGGTGCCCAAATGTACAAAGGGTCAGGCGGGCAGGTGAGCCCCAGCCCTAGAGGAGGAGGGAACGGGGAACGGACGCCCTTTCGGGCTCCTATCACACGGGGGCCAGGCAATTCAGAACCGCTGACCTTAGGGCAGGAAGCAGGGCGCAACCATAAAATGCTCTCTGGATGTGAAAAGTGAGGCTTCTACTCTTTGGCAATTCTCTGTGATGTGCCGGAGCACAGGCGCCCGCACATAAATCCCTGTCTGCTTAGGAAAATGCCATTGTGGTTAAATCCCCCAACCTAACTTGCCACATCCACTCCCAGGCACAACTAGACACTTTCAAATACACACCTGAATCCCCAGCTAGGAACACACCTGCATCCCCCTCCGCTGCTCCCGCCGCAAACCAGAATATTATGGGCTGCCACTGAACCAAAATGAGCTATAAGTCAAGTCCCAACCCTTCTTGTGGGGCTTTTCATCTTTTGAGATATGCCTGCCACAGAGATAATAATCAATTTGATGATTCAAATGCGTGAGGGGAGAGGAGTAGGTAGAGAATTATTTAAAAGGGGTGGGGAAAGCCCTCAGGAGAGACCACCACCTTATTCTCCTGTATTCTACAGGAGACAATGAGCAGTAGGGGGAAAGACATAATTTTATCATCAAAATAATGTCTAAATGGATAGTAACTGCAGACAGTGTCCGTGCATTTCAGGAATAAAGCAGGGAGAGAGGGTTGTGGGAAGCCCCAGGAGGGGCTGGTCACTTGGGGAGGGGTTGGGGAATGGGAGCAGTGTCACAGATGATCTTCGACTTGGATAAATGTGTGCCCGTGTGGGCTGCAAAGGGAACTGAGATTTTTCATACATGTTGAAGTGAAGGAATGCGTGGGACTCTCCCTGCTCCAGGCTCAGGAAGGCATCTCACTGAGAGATGGATGGAGATGTCTACTCTGTCAGAAGACCCCCAGCGGCCTCAGATTTTTTTCCCCCAACACGAGTACTTTGTTAGAAAGAGGGGTGCGAAGGTGCTTTACCTTACCTGGCTTTTCTACATGACTCCCATCTCTTGCCAAGATCTCAGTGACCACTTTCTATGTCCTTTCTGCCCCTCAAAAGTCCATTCTCCTAGCACCCAGCAGCCAGGTGGCACTTAGTAAAATGACATCCAATGTTCCCTTGTTGCAGTTAGCAATGAGGTCCCAGTTTGGTCTACAAAGAAGGCCTCATGGAAAGGTTTCTGTGGGTCTTGCTGCATTCTTCCATAGACTGTGTCACACTCCCTCAAGCCACAGCCTTTGCACCTGCCACCTAGAAGCACCCTCCGCCCTCTTTCTAGAACCTTCTGCTCTTCAGGTTGTTGATTGCAGTTTACACTCACATGTACATTGGCATTAGTGATCCCTCTGCTCCATGCACCCTGCTGGATTGTGAGCCCCATAGGGATTGACTGTTTTGTGCATTGGAGAATTCCTGCACCAAACAGCACCTAATGCACAGCAGTTGTTGGGATAAAGATTCTGCTTTTCCAGCCATGAAACTAGCAGGTTGGAGTTGATACCACAGCCAGCTGAGGGACAGGCTGTGGCCCGAGAAGGGACTTAGCCCCTGACAAGTCGTATGGGGTCAGTTACTCCTTGGAGACAGAGCACACCCAGTGAAGATAAAGACCTCTTTAGAATATGAAAAAAAAAAAAAAAAAGATCATTGCATAGCCTGAAGCAGTGGGTTCACAGATGCTTGGGGTGAAGAAGGCTGGAGAGGAGGTTTCTGGTGGTTGGGGTCCTCCTCAGGCCTACGCCCAGCCAGCCATGCCCTGCTCTAACCCTGGGGCCCAGATCTTTGTCCTTAGCTCCACTGACAAGAATGAGCCTCCACTGGGCTAGGGGAGAGATGACCAGCAGACCTAGGCACCCTGGTGACATGATCCAAATTGGCAGGCCCAGGCTTCTCCTGTGACACTCCAGGCAAACTTGGCCAGGTCACACTCCAGGCAAGCTTGGCCAGGTCACACTCCATGCATGGGACAAGTCTCTCCCCAGCCTGTCCTCCACCAGCTCACCAAGGTGGCTGGGATTCCTTCCCCAAACCAGGGCAACACCTCTGGCTGGAGAGGTCACAGTACGGGATTGTGCTGAGGACCCTGGGATCTGATCCCGACTCCTCCGTGTGACCTTGCCAAGGTCATCTCTTCTCCAGAAAGTAAAGGTGTGTAGGGGGCAGAGATGGGCGGGCAGAGCTCTTGGCTTCTTTCAAGCTTGAAATGCACTCAACTCATCATGGTTTCCTGCTTCCTCTGTCCACCTGCTGTGGGAGCTACTAGGAATGCCTCCCTAGCAACAGCTCTGAGCCACCCCTTTACCTGTGCTGTACTCCTGGTGCCTCAGGTGGGCAAGGCAGACCAAAGGGCATAGGAAAAATAGCATTAGACATTGATGGCAGAGGGTGTAAGGTGACAGCCACTCACTTTGTTTTTGTGACAAACTCATTTAAATAGATATTTATTGCACACATAGAACAGAACAGCTAGGAGAGGATCAGGGTATTACAGAGGGTCCTCAACTTACATTGTTTGACATCATCTTTTTAACTTTAGGATGGTGCAAAAACCATATGAATTCAGAAGAAATCGTAGTTTGCCTTTTGAATTTGGATCCTTTCCCGGGCTAGAGAGATGCAGTGCAGTGCTCCCTCGAGATGCTGGGCAGTGGCAGCTCTTGGTTGGCCACAGGACTGAGAGGGAAGACAATAGTCAAGTTTGCTGTATTGCTCAGCTATGATGTTTGATGAGCTGGGTGTGTCTGACATTTTCAGCTTATGATGGTTTTATAGGGACACATTGCCATTGTGAATCAAAGGACACCTGTATTTAGAACTGACTAATCAAGAAATTTGCACCCTTCCCTGTGTGGTCAAGTGTCCTACTCAAGGTCACGCCGTGAATCGGTGTCAAAGCAGGCCATCTGTGTTCCCTGAATTTCTACTTATTCAACTTCTAAATCTCTGTAGACAGGTGTCTTCTCTTTCCCACCTCCTCGTTCCCCAAGTTCAAGCTCTTTCCTAAAGACTATGAAGCCAAAGGAGAACAGTCCCAGTCATGTCACCTACTGCCCATGTTTCACCTGGGAGATAGTGAGGGCAAGGGCATCTGTCCATGCCTTCCCCATGGTCTCCTGGGAGGGAAAAGGAGGTGCTGGTAGGTGGAGACCAGTGTCATAACGTGTTGCCCTGCCATGTGCAGTGACCCCGTGAGGGTTATTAGGAAACATGATCACACGCAGCACAGACCCCTCTATTCCTCAAGCCCATGGTTCCCTAGGGACAACAGACACCGAGTAGGTCATAGGCACATAGGTCCACTCTGATCAACCCCTGTTACTTCCCATCATGGGCTGACTGAGTCCTGAGAGCAGCTGCCTGATGCCTGCACCTGGATCTTGACCCATCTTTCCATGACCCATGTAGCTGACCCAGCACCCCAGCCAGAGGCCTGGTGAACACCTCCCCCCTTCACCGAGACAGGCTTTTGTTCTATCTCCCCTCCCTGGAGGCAGCCTCCTCTGACACCAGTTATTTTTGCACACACCTAAAAAAAGGCAGCAGCAAGTATTGTCTCTAGTTCTCAAACTCTCTCCTTCCACGAGCATCTCAGGAACCAACAATACGAGGAGGATTTTTTCATCCTTCAAGCCAGACAGCTCAGCAGGAGTTGGTGGACCCAGTTTGGTCCTCAGCAGAGCAAAGGACCTGCTGACCTCATCAGTAAGTGATAAGACCCACCAGGCGTGTCTCTAGGTCTGCCCTCTCTGCTCCCTAAGTCCAGTGGATGTGGGAGCACGTTTTCTGGTTACACCATCCCCACCCTCCACCCCTCCCCAAGTTTCCAGGTGGGAATGAGGCCTTTGGGAACACCCAAGGTATGAAGCCACTTCTTACCACCAGTCCAAAGATGGGTGGATGCGTCCGTGGGACTGTCTGACTCGCACACCAAGCTGGCTTCTGTTCCACCCCAAGTCCAGGAAGGCCATCCATTGACAGTCCACGATGACTAAGGTGGGCCTGGCCCAGACAGTGAGCCTAACCTGAGCATCTCTGGGGACAGTGCTCCACGGGCTCCGGGCCTGGGGAATGTCCCTGTCTATACAACTCTGTGGACCCACTGTCTTCTCACATGCTTGAATTTAGGGTGTAGAGTTATATCCCCGAGTGGTGGTCAGCAGACTGCCAGCCCATTGGCTGGCACTCATCCCAAGGATCATAATTAACTGATAACGCTAATACAATGTGAGTTTGTCCTCCATAATAGTCTCCTGCTGACAGATAAATGCTGCGGAAACATGAAGGCTTTTCCTGAAACAGTAATGGGCCATTATTGGGGCAAGAAGGCTCATGTCCTATTAGCACTGCCACCACAACACCAAATAAAATACGAGGGGTCGTTTTGAGTGGATAAACGCTTGGGTTCCCTCCCATTACCGCCGTCATCCATTTCATTATCTGAAATCCCTGCCAGGGATCTTGAAATAACTTCCAGGTATTTCAAAGC